TTGCGAGTAATTCTATCAGGATTACGCTCGCCACCGCAAGGACAGCCTCGGCGGAGACCGTTTTGTAGGCGCAAGAGATCATTAGCGCACCCAGTTTGTATGTTTGTCAGTTATTTGCTATATTTTTTAACCGCCAGTGTATCAGCCCATACCTTAGCCCCATAGAGTGCGGTCGAGTGGATCGTAGACATCAATAATCGTCTCTTTCCTTGTCTAGGATCGTATACGTTTGCTATCAAACTACTGAGGGTCGTAGTCTTCTCTGCCGCCTTCTCAGCTCTTTCCTATATGTATGACCAAAAGATCAGTTTCGTATCCAAGGCCACCCCCAAACATTTAATCATTCTCCTGGTTTGTATCTGGAGCTCACCTATCAGAAGTATGAGTTCCGTCTTAGCCAGGGCTAAGTCCAGTCCACGTCCATTTAGCCACCTGTTAATCCGTAACATGGCGCGATTCAGTAACATTTGTGCTATTTCTGGGGTTCGTGCTACTATCACCACTGCCATGTCATTGGCATAGGCGGTCAGTGTAACCCTCAGTGGCATCGACAGTCTAAGTAATGCGTCATACAGTATATTCCAGAGCTCTGGACCCAGGGTAGAGCCTTGGGCGACCCCTGTGGTGATACGTCTATTTACCGTTCCGTCGGTTGTCTCGTACACATCTGTCTCGTCACTAGTCCCACAATACCCGCATAAGGTATGGAAGAAGTCCGAAGGTCTCGAGAGCCCTCAGGATATCCCCCCACCTGATAGAGTTCAAAGCGTTTCTAACGTCTAGAGTCGCCAGAAGCACTAACGGTTTCACCCAATTCATAAGCATCATGTCCGTTGCTATGTATGCGTGATTTCTCGTATGGCTCCTATTATCGAGCGTCCTTTTCTGTGTTGGTTGATTGCTAAGCCTCCGTTTGCCGTTACTGAATCCGTCAGTCTCGGTTTTATCATCACCTCATACAGTTTGCCCACTAAATCTAAAAGACTCAGAGGCCTATAGGAGAACGGTGCATTCGATTCCCCTTTTCCTTTATGCAAAAGGACCAGCCTAACCGTCTTCCATCTTGTGGGGAAAATACCGGCCCACAAGTTCGGATTATACATAAGAAGATTCAGTTGAGTACGTGCGATCTGTCGAAGGATCTCACTCAGTATATGAGCGTCTGGTCATGGTGCTTTGCCGGGTTTTAGTGATAAAGCAGCTTAGATAAGCTTCGCATCGGTGAACTCCGGCCCTGTCACCTGTCTGTCGTCCGTGGTATATATTGTTCGTAACTGATTGGTTCGGGAAGAATCCGTCAACTATTGCTTTCATGTTGGATCTGTCTTTTGGATCTGAAGGGCCCAGTAGTTTTAGTTTCTTAGTCACGATTTTGTAGCCAAAGCTCAGGGTTCCTGTTCCACCTCTTCGCACAGTCGTCTCAAGAATCGACTTTTACTGTCTCTGATGGGTGTGATCAAAGTCTTTCGTGCTGTCTTGTATGCATTCGTTAGTATGTCTGCGTCAGGACTTCCTCTTTTCCGTGCGCGGTATACGAGGTGTGTTCAAAAAGTAAGGTGACTTTTCAAATTTCACGGGCAACGTACTTTCGAATATCGATTTTTTTGTTTTGTTATGTTGGCACACTCTTCCCGAACATCTGTACCAAGTTTCAAGTGTATAGCATTTTTTGTTTAGTTGTGAAAGGCGTAAAGGTTATAAATGTTTTGCGTGCTCGGCGATTTCTTGCTATCGAAAAATATGGATCAAAGGATTTGCATCAAATTTTGTGTAAAAAATAAAATAAAGTGCTCCGAAATACTTGAAATGTTGACGGTGGCATACGGTGAAACTGTTCTGAGTGAAAAAAATGTTTACAAGTGGTACAAACTCTTCCAAGATAGCCGGGAAGATGCCAATGACGAGCCTCGCTCTGGACGCCCAAGCACGTCAACAACCGATGAAAACGTTCAAGCAGTGAAGAAAATTGTTCTGGAAAATCGTCGAATCACTATCAGAGAAGTTGCTGAGGATGTTGGTATATCGCTTAGCTCATGCCATGAAATTTTTTCTAACGTTTTGGGCATGAGACGTGTGTCAGCGAAGTTTGTTCCGAAATTGCTAAATTTTGACCAAAAGAACCGTCGCATGAGCATCGCTCAAGAACTGTTGAATTACGTCAACGACGACCCAGATTTACTCAAAAGGGTCAAAAACAAACAGTATTATCTTGAAGTTATGCGCCGTTTGCGAGAAGCAATACGAAGAAAACGCCCAGAATTGTGGAAAAATAATTCATGGCTTTTGCATCACGATAATGCCCCTGCTCATATATCTTTGCTTGTGAGAGATTTTTTGGCCAAAAACAACATCACAATCATGCCTCAGCCACCATATTCACCGGATTTGGCCCCATGTGACTTTTTCTTGTTCCCAAAACTAAAGAGACCTATGAAAGGACGGAGATTTGCAACGATTGAAGAGATAAAGACTGCATCGCTGGAAGAGCTCAAGACTATACCGAAGAGTGTTTATGAGAAGTGCTTTGAGGATTGGAAAAACCGTTGGCATAAGTGTATTGTATCTGAGGGGGATTCCTTTGAAGGGAACAACATAAATATTGATAAATAAATAAATATTTTTTCTTAAAAATACAAAGTCACCTTACTTTTTGAACACACCTCGTATCTTTCTGCGACAGGCAATGCATTTGCTACTGAGGAGGTTGATCTCTTCCATCCACCAATATACCGCGTTTGTCCTTTCTTTCTCTCCATCTTTTTTTATGTAAGATAAGCAGTGAAAATATGTAAAAATGGCCAATTTCGTTAATGTATTTTTATTCGCAGTAATTCTAGTCAAATTATATTTTAGTTCTGAATACTTACAAGAAACACCATTAAGTGAATAACTCATGTACGCACTGAATGATACATTAATAATATAACTCGGTCATTTTTTACATACACAAATAGTAAATTATATGTATGTTTTCTTTTGTTATTTTCAATCGTTATATATAGTCATATATCTCCATTAAAATCTGCGTATAATAAAACTTGAGAAGTAAGAGCTCTAGTTGACTAAATATATTTTCTGTATCGCGTGAAATACGTAGGGGGGATCAATAAGTTTTTACAAAAAGAAGGAAAAAAAAGTTTTCCGTATGTAATTTTTTTTAATTTTTTAACATAATCTCCTTGGAGGTTGATACATTTTATTAAACGGCCTTCCAGTTTTTTTAAGCCACCAGAAAAATATGATTTCTTAAAACCCTCAAAATAGGCATTTGTTTCGGCAATGATTTCTTCATTTGACGTGAATCGTTATCCGGAAAGCCATTTATTGAGGTTAGGAAATAAGAAAAAGTCATTGGGAGCCAAATCAGGCGAATATGGTGGATGGTCAATTAATTCGAACATTAAATCGTTAATTTTTGCCATCGAAACTGCACACGTGTGAACTCGAACATTGTCTTGAAGAAAGAGGCATTTTTTTTGTTCAAGTGAGGACGTTTTTCTCTGATTTTTTCTTTCAGCTAACCTAATAATGACGCATAATATTGTCCAGTGATCGTCTGGCCCTTTTCCAAGTAGTCGATGTAGATGATTCCATAAGCATCCCAGAAAACCGTGGCCATAATCTTGCCAGCTGACTTTACTGTCTTTGCCTTCTTTGGAGCTGGTTCTCCTGCGGTAATCCATTGTTTGGACTGTTCTTTGGTTTCAGGAGTATAGTGGTGTATACATGTTTCGTCTACAGTTACGAGTCGGCGCCAAAAGTCTTCCGAATTACGACGTATACGTGCCAAAAAGCCTCAGAGGTGACCACGCGGGTTCGTTTGTTTTCAACAGTGAGCAAACGCGGCACCCATCTTGCTGATATTTTTTTCATCCCCAATTTTTCATGCAAAATTGAAATGATTGTACCCTTTGATACCCTTGTGGCCTCAACTAATTCTCGCAATTTTAATCTTCTATCACTCAACACCATATCATGGATTTTGTTGACCATTTCGGGCGTACTCACTTCTACGGGGCGTCCTGAACGAGGTTCATCTTTTGTTGTTGTACGGCTGCGTTTAAATTCATTTACCCAGTTATAAACAGTCTTAAGCACAGCGGCAGACTTGCCATGAACGGCGTTCAACTCAATTGTGATTTCTTTTGGTGCAAGGCTTTTCATATGAAAATGTTTTATCATCGCTCGAAACTCTGTTTTTTCCATTTTTCAAATAAACCAATAACTTTTTGTTCAACCAACGCTCACAAAAAAACGATTTAATGAATCGAACTGAAACTTTGTACGATATCTAGTTAGTAGTATTGCCTTTCAAAAACATCATAATTTAAGCGTGACGAGCGCCATCTCTTGGATTTTGTAAAGACTTATTGATCCCCTCTCGTACCAAGGAAAGTATCGATGAACTATACTCATACACTGATATTATATGAATTATTATATTATACTGCATTTTAGGTGTATTTCTACTAAAATTTTTTAATTGTCTATTAACGAGTTTCTATTGAATGTATGTTTGTTATGTGGTATTCTAAAATGTTGAATAGTTGTTTAGCCTGCTAAGGAAAAGATTTTACAATCCATCTGATCACACATTAGCATGATTCTGTCCTAGTAAAAATTTTAAATAGATTTTTTCGAGATTTATTCTATTGCAGGAAATAAATTTTCAAAAACTCCAGTAAAATTTGTAGGCGTATGAAACATTTTGAATTTAGCCGTGAAAATCCGCTTAGTAAATTAATAGAATAAACAAATATTTAAAAATTAGGAAGGAATTAAAAATACTGTTTTTGTTACTTAGTAGAGAATTATGAAAAAATTCATAATTCATAGATACACAAATTTTTAAAAATTATATATTTAGCATTGACTCATCTTAACTAACCAAAACAGATTTTGTTAAAGCAAAATATCAAATTCTGTCGTTTTCATTTCAGATATTATCAGATTAATTTATGTTATAGTTTCTAGCTGAATTCTTATTTTTATGATCTTAGGTTCTTCAAATTCTCAAGATTCATTTCCACCAGGCACTTCTAATAATGCATCTATTGAAAGCTATGGTAATTATCAAAATTCATATTCGAGTAATACTGGTAATGGATCAAATGGAGAATTCAGTTCCACGTCCATACGCCCATCAAATCAAAATAATACAGCATCTCATCAAGGTAAAATATAATTTTTAATATTTATTATCATTTGCGGAACCATTTTTATTATTTGCGGAAACTTTGAATTTATTATTTAGCTACTAAAAATGAAATACAATAAGTAGAAAGTTTAATACTGAGACTAGAGAATGTTGCGAGAATTTTGCACTTATGGAATTGGATGCATACAAAACATTCAAAAACTAAAATTATAGCTAAATTTATAAGTTATAAATCACTGAAAATGTGATGACTAAAAGTATTTCTATCTATTTCATATGAGTGTGTATTACTTCGACATCTGCTCAAGTATCTCCAACTTGTTAGTTACAAGTTTAAGTTTCTTGAGAAATGGTTAAATGAATGCAAATTTAGAACTAAATTTAATAGTGTAACCAATATAGCAGCAAGGTAAACTAGAGATTAAATAAGAAGTGTGCGACGCGAGAAAAAATAATACATAAATATAATAATAGTGCGTTAAATAAATATTTTACTTAACGTCGTTAGAGATTATTCGTTTGTTCGATCTGTTTCTGGTATGCTCTGTACTGATACGCATGCGTTCCACTCTACTGTGAGCGGGAAGTAGGAGGTTATTAAGTAGACGAATATACGTAAACGTCATTTATTATGTCAACTTAAAGACATTAAACATCAAAAAGAATTGATCGAGATGTTTAGACGTACACGAACTACAACAAGCGGACGCACTTGTTGATCGCGATGAACGAGAAAGAGAGAGAGAGAGAGAGGAACAAAAACACTTGACAAGCACGAACTAGTATCGGCTGTACCGCTCGCACGATGGAATATCATAATCGCCTGAAAACGTTTCTTCGCTTACCTCATTTTAGATATCGTTGCTGCAGGCAACATGACAGGGGTTAGGTAGGCGCACGACTTGTTCGCTTTCCAGGGTGACTCGCCGAGTTCCTCCCTATTATTCGCTACCGATTGCTGCATCCGGAGTGCGACTATCCGAATAATGAGACTATTGATTCCAATGTCCTGCTCTCGACGAAGATACACTTGCTTTCAGCAGTTATTACTCTCCCACACTGGAACCCGATTTTTAATTAGTGCACGGGGCACCGAGGAGGAGGCACCAAAAAAAAAAGAATTTACGAATAGCAAGACAGTGAGATTACAATCATCCTTTTCTTTTCTTTTTATTATCACTGAGGTTGCTAGTCTAAAAAATAATAATATCTTTCCTTTAGTTGCTCTCTCCCTTCCATCGTGCCGATGCGCTTTTCTTCAGTGTGCTCTCTCGTTAGTGATTGTTCGTCGTGATCAATCCTGATACTACGCATCTCCTAGTGTATATATATTTTATATCCGGGCTGTTCAAAAAGTAAAGTTAATTTTCAATTTTCGGGGGCTACGTACATTCAAGTTTTTAATTTTTGTTGTTGTTATGTTGGTACACTCCCACGATTATATAATGTGAAAAATGAAATTCATTGTTCTAAAGCTCTTGAAATGTTGACAATTGCATACCATAAATCTACTCTAAGTAAGAAAATTGTGTATAAGTGGTATAAGCTATTCCAAGAAAGCCGAGGGAATGTCATAGACGCACCTCGCCCTGGACGTTCCAGCACATCAACAACAGATGAAAACGTTGAAACAGTGAAAGAAATTGTGTTAAAAAATCGTCGAATCACCATCAGAGAAGTTAAAGAAGATATTGGCATATCGGCTGGCTTATGCCATGATATTCTTTCGGATGTTTTGGACATGAGACATATGTCAGCGAAATTCGTTCCAAAATTGCGGAATTTTGATTAAAAGAACCGTCGCATGACCATCGCTCAGGACATGTTGAATGAAGTCAATGAAGATTCTGATTTTCTTAAAAAGGTTATAAATGATGATGAATCGTGTGTATATGGTTATGATATCGAAACTAAACTCCAATCGTCCCAATGGAATATCCCAGAAGAGACAACACCCAAAAAAGCACACCAAGTTCGATCAAATGTCAAGGTTTTGCTTACTGTATTCTTTGATTGTCGTGGCGTAGTTCATCAGGAATTCTTACCACAAGATCGTACGGTAAATAAGGAGTATTATCTTGAAGTTATGCGTCAGTTGCGAGAGGCAATACGCTAAAAACGTTCGGAACTTTAGAAAAACAATTCGTGGATTTTGCATCACGATAATACACCTGCTCATTTATCGTTGATTGTGAGAGATTTTTTGGCCAGAACCAACACTACAGTCATGCCTCAGCCCCCATATTCATCGGATTTAGCTCCCAGTGACTTTTTCCTTTTCCCAAAACTCAAGAAATCCATGAAAGGACGAAGATTTGGAACGATTGAGGAGATAAAGAAAAAATCGCTAAAAGAACTCAAGTCTATACCTCAAAATGATTTGCAAAAGTGCTTCAATGATTGAAAAAACGCTAGCTCAAGTATATTATATCTAACGGGGATTACTCTGAAGAGAACAACATAAATATTGACCATTAAATAAACATTTTTTGAGAAAACCATAAAGTCACTTTTCTCTTTGGACACCCCTCGTATGTATATACACACTAGAAGCCTGCGCCCCCTGCTCACTCCGATTGCCAAACTCTTATGACGAATGAAATGAATTACAAATTATATAATATTAAAATTGCAACAAAATAAAAGAGGTAAAAAGGGGATAGCTGTTAACACAGACATTCTCTTAACTGTATATATATACGAGGGTGGTCCGATAAGTACTTAGCCTACAAAAGAAAAACGAAAATTTTGGAAAAGTGGCGTTTTATTTTTCAACATAGTCTCCTTTTAGTTCGATACACTTGGCCCAGTGATGCTCCAACTTCTTTAACCCGTCTGAAAAATACGTTTCCTCGAGGTCTGAAAAGTAGGCTTCCGTGGCAGCGATTACCTCCTCATTCGACTCAAATTTCTGCCCGGCGAGTGACTTTTTCAAGTTTGGAAACAAAAAGAAGTCGCACGGGGCTAAATCTGGAGAATACGGTGGATAGGGTAGCAGTTCGTAGTTCGTAGCCTAATTTGACCAATTTGGCCATGGCGACGGCGGAGGTGTGAGCCGGTGCGTTGTCATGGTGGAAAAGCACTTTTTTTTTCGCCAAATGGGGCCGTTTTTTCTGCAATTCGACGTCGCATCGGCCTAATAATTCGGCTTAGTACAGCCCTGTGATCGTTTTGCCTCTCTTCAGGTAGTCGATGTATATCACACCTTGTGAATCCCAGAAAACGGTGGCCATCACCTTTCCGGCCGATGGGGCAGTCTTCGCCTTCTTTGGAGCACTTTCGCCGGGAAAAGTCTACTGTTTCGACTGTTCCTTGGTCTCTGATGTATACCAGTGGATCCATGTTTCGTCGACTGTCACGAAACAACGCAGAAACTCCTTCGGATTGCGCTTAAACAGCGTCAGACATTGCTCTGAAGTTGTCTCACGGTTGCGCTTATTGTCCGGAGTGAGCAAACGCGGCACCCATCGCGCCGACAGCTTTCTTATGCCCAAAATTTCATGCAGGACATGACCCACACGGTCTTTTGAGATGCCTGCGATCTTAGCTATCTCGCGCACCTTCAATCGTCAATCTGCCAATACGAGATCGTGAATTTTTGTCACGTTATCCTCCGTCGTAGCCGTTTTCGGAGCACCTGGACGTGGCTCTTCAAAAATTGACGTGCGACCACGTTGAAACTCGTGAAACCAATTTTTGACGGTCGCCATCGAAGGAGAAGAGTCACCGTACACAGCATCCAAGCGCTTTTTGATTTCGCTGCGCGATTTCTCTTCCAAAAACAAGAATCGAATCACCGACCGATACTGCTCTTTTTCCATTTTTCAAAAATCAACGGACACACTTGCTTTCACACGTTCTCAAAAATAAACTACAACTCCGATCCGGCTAAAATCTTGACAGTAACCATCGATATATTAATATCCAATAAACTTAGGAATTTCTTTTTAAGGCCATTCAAGAGTTCTTCTAACTGTTCTTCTCTAGATTTGCATGCAAGTTTTTTCAAGGAATCATCAAATTTCATGTCCTCTATACTATCATTTTTACTGCAGGATTCGCGTATTCCTTTATTCGGAGGTTCATTCAAGGAGTCATCGAATTCCATGTAATCTCGACTATTACCTTCAAAAGAAAGATCTTTATGAGAGTTATAAATACTTTTTCTGCAAGTGTGACAAATTTTTGATAGTAGATGCAAATTTGGATAGGACTTAAAAATACCTTGCGAAATATTCCGCAAGTTTTTACCCACATGACCATCTTTACCCAGTGGGTTACAACATCTCTTAGAATGGAGATTTTGTGACGAATCAGCCATGTCCACAGTTAGGATGCGAATACGTACTTGTAAAAACAATGGAAATAAAATAAGAAAGTTAAAAGAAATGAAACAAGTAGGAAATACACCAACTATTCTGAAAAGGACTGTTGGAAATTGACCACCGATGTTCCGCACAAACCTGGAAAATTATCTTAATAACTATCCTGAGAAGGACCGTTACTGAGTTTCTACCCATGCTGAGTACCACCCAATATATCAGAAAAACGACTATCTTGAAAAAGACTGTCGTTTCCGAAAATAAAAGGTGTAGAAAGAACAAGCTAAAATAGACCAACTAATTTAAAAAAAAGTTCTTATAATTAGTCGTAGATTACGTATGAATTTTTGTAAAAGATCTTGGCAAGTTTTTTAATTTTTCAAACAATCCAATAAATCGAAAAAGCAAAAAATCGCTCAAAGGAATTCGAAAAAATTCACATTTGTGTTTTGATGAATTTCAAGCAATTTCGCTCCATAAATTTTTTTTCCAAAGTCATTTCCTTCTGAGTGAAAAAATCGCAGTTTTTTATTTTTGAAAATTTTCAAAAAATTATAACTTTTTTATTTTTCATTTTAGCGAAAATGGTCTCTGTTACTTTTTTGTAGGAAATGAGCCAGATTTTCATAAAAAAATATGAAATATTAATTTTTTTAACATTTATTACTAAAAATTTGAAAAATAAAATTTTTTG